TGTACTCAAACATTGCACTCGAACGCCCTCGCGGGAATTAGTGGCTGTAATTTTCGGCATGTGTGCAGCTAGCGCAGTAATTATAAGACTTGACAGACAGGCAAGACAGAGGGCTCCGACTGCGACTGAGTCAAGAGCCACCAAATTAGGCGGCTTGGCTTGTCAATCCATCAATCAATCACCATTCATCAAGACAAAAAGGTGAATCCACACACTCAGAATTCCAGTTAAAAATATGCATTATATAAGAAGAAAGCGAGATCAGATGTTTTCAAGGCTGTTCCACAAGTCGTAACATATCTGTTGGGAGAACAAGGCCCTCAAGCATAGTATTGCGAGACCTGACCCAATCCTCATTTCTCGCACCTAAACAACGCGCGCCAAGTCATTCCTGAATTGCTCGCTGCTATAACTGTTTGGGAATTGTTAGCAGCAGAGTTCCCTCACGAGTTGCTTGCTAGCCGCCTGTTCCGTTCGGCGCTCTGCTCCATTCTGTTCTGCTGAGTAGTCGAGTTTTTATGGGATTTTCTTGCTGTTGATTTATGTATGTGGTTGTTTGGGGGCCCTTTGTTTATGGTTGGCGTCTTGTTTGCGTATTTAATTTTCGCCTTTGTCGCTGTGGTAGCACTCAAGTTAAATGCCTCCCGCATAAAAGTCGCTCCTAAACTGTTGCAGCAAAGAGAACAGAAATAAACACAGAAAGAGCCCATTAAGTGGGCCTGACTTTGTATCAATCGCTCGATAATAGTTTTGGGATTATACAATCCCAGCTATATAACCTCTGCAGAGCTGTATTCATTATTAATTGTAGTGCATGTGCTTATTGTAGTGACAAATACTTTAATTATATTCAGAGCAGAGTAAATGGTTTCGATACGGTTTGCCCCATATTTAAACGCCTACGGTCTCTTGGGCATCGACCGGGCCAGTGGGACAAGTCTGGTATCTCCCATCTAGGCAGCCGAGCCGCCATGCCCCCCGGCCAGGCCTGGCTCTCGCTTCGCCTACTTAGTTGTGAGACATTCGAACTTACAGCTGAATCGGAATCTGAGTCTAGATCTGAATGTTATACAAGCACTTGTCTGTACTCCAGACGTACAGCCGGCGCGGCGTTGGTGTCAGCCGTTCGGGAACTTATAAATAGCGGGCTTTGGTTCTGAATTTCTGATTTTGTCTGTGATTCGCATGACGAACTATTTCTTGGCACTTTCCTCTGTACGCCCATCAACCGAAAAAGGTAGCAAAATTATGGGCCACAGCGAAAGGTGATTTATTTTGGGCTCAGCATTGTTGAAAATTCATTCGTGTTTTTATTGCTTTACAATGGGCAAATATCATCTGTTTGCCAGAACAAAGTACTTTTACTTTTTGGCAGGCAATTATATTTAAATTTAGAAAGGCTTTCCATGTGTGAAAGCTAAGTTGATGGCCCCAGATCGTATGTGATTCCCCGCTAAAAACTAGCTAGGAGCAAAAGGCTACCCATTGAAGCCTCTACCTCTACCAAGACACAGAGGGAAAAGAAACAATTGCTTGAATATTTGTTGTGGGATCATTTCGGGCTGAAAGTCATTGTCAATGCCAAATGCGAATCATTTGGCGTGCGATAGATACAAATGTGTCTGTGCCAGTGTCTGTGTCTGTGACTGTGACTGTTTGTTGGTTTCGCGAATACGATTTTGTTGCGGCCTCATCCAATGTCAGTGACACTCGTAGTCCGTGTCAACGTCTGCACAACATGACAAGGCATTCGCTCATCGGCGTTAATGTGTATTGTGTATTGCCCACCGAATTAGAGGAAAAACATATACAGTTGATTCATTCCGATGCTATTCAGATACATGCTCGGATATAGATATGACGCGCCCCCAATGAGTACCACCTCTTTGGGACTGGGCTGGGACTGAGCTTGGGCAGAGCTCGACAATGTCGCCGCAATTGTTCCTTAGTTCATTTTTATTCCATTATTTTGCGCAGTTAGCCAGAAATGTTTGTGTCATGTGAATGGCTGATATGTCATCATAAATTAATTGTTCCGAGCGCCCAAATTGCGGGGCGAATATTTGCTCAAACAATATTTACATGAGAGGGTTGAGTACTTGAGCGGAAAGTTGTTCGTATTTATGTATCTATCCCATGGCTAGCCTTTGCGCTTGTCTCTCTTATCGGGCTGACAGCCAAAGTGACGGACAAACAAGTCCCCCCACCCCATTTGACCATTCATTCATGAACTTTTATGGCTTCGCTCGAACTAACTATCGATCGATCGATCTATTTGACCGACTGGGTGTTTCACCTGCTGCAAGTTCAATTAGCATTCGATGCATAATTAAAGTGACAACAGAGTCGCCCTAGTGCTAGGGCGCCACTTTACCGCTCGGTGAGGTGTGAACTGCTAATGTGCCACAAATGGCGGAACAATGCCCAATCCGGCAGAGTGAGAAAAGCACACAGAGCGGGCAAACAGCGAGTGCCAAGTTTAATGTGACGTCACTGGGATTCGCACTGGCAATGGAGCGGATCGATCGGTTCGGCTAATCAGTGGTGACGTCATTTGTCAACAGCGCTGACAGCCGCCCAATGGTTAAGTGCAGTTGCCATTTAGCGCCATTGAGCCGAGCCGAGCCGAGCCGGAGATTGGACTGGCTCTGATTCAATGGAATTCAATAAATCAACTTTGAATGCATCCAAAGAAGATCGTGTTTCGCTCCGAACACAGCGCATTCCATCAGTCAGAGAAAGGTCAGAGTTGATTGCATAGGTGTGTTATGGACAGTCGTTGTCGCGATAATAATAATTTGATCGCAATAATAATTTTGAATCAATCACGAAAATATGCAAAGTTTGTTCGCCGCGACTCCATGAGCGTGTGTCAATTGCAAATAACTAAATGTGCACTTAACATATTTATCCACTACCCTCACACTCGTATTCAATCGTCGCGAATAACCTTAAATGCCGAGAAATCTCAGTTAACAGTGCGTATGAGCCATATTTCAAAACGATGACGGAGCAGTCACCGCGGGTGCTGGCGGTGGGTGACGACTGTCTGAGGACGGTGTGTAAGCTGCTTGTGATGCAATTTACATTTTAATTGCCGCATATTGAGTATCAGAGAACACAATCCATTTAAATGGCGCTGCGCCTGTGCCTCTGTCTGTGTCTGTGTCTGTGCCTAATGACAACGTCACGTTCCCCGGCACAGTGGTCACTCAATGCGAATGGCTTCTCATTGATCGCTTAATGCTCGCTTTCTGTGGCAAGCTGATTATGTAAATGATACCAAGCTATTGTTCAATTTGATCAAAATTTAGGTGGTTAGGTGGGGGAGTGGGAGTGGGAGAAGAGTCGTAAAATCTTTGGGAATTATGTTAATGCAAATTAGGTAACCTGAGCAGCGCCACACAACAATCGAACGTATGGCAAAAGGCTGCGGCTTCCTTAACAAAATATGTTTAACGTTTTGTGTAGGAAATAGTTAGGAGGTTTAACTTGCGAGAAGCTGGGCGTTTAACGCGCTTCACGGCTTGTCCAATGACCCCCCTGCCGACCCCACAAAGATCGTCTATCTTTGTCTAGTCCCATCCCCACCGAGAGACATGGATATGACATCACCTGGACAAGACCAGTAGCCACCATGACACGCTCATTCACTTACTCACTCACCTTCGTAAGATGTGTGTGTGTTTGTGGCTGTGTGTGTGTCTGCCTGTTTGCCAGGGGGAGGGCAAGGCAAGTGCCGGAACTGGACCGGACCGAACCGAACAGCCCGCTGATTGCGTGTTTGTGTCGAACAAAGAGGAAAAACTAGCCAAATTTATGGGATTAATGGATACTAAGATACTCTTTGCCTGCCCTTTGGTGTTGTGTTACAGATTGCTCGACTTAAGAGTCGAGATTGTTGCCCGCTCTTCCTGCTCGTCCAAATTCTGGTTAACCTTAGGAACAAGATGGGCCAGACGACATTTAAATACGAGTATTCATAACCGATTCACAGCTGTTTAGCCACATGGATGGAGAGCGCATTGAAAAGTTCACTTCATCGAAGATCTAAATCCCACTCGATCAAGTTCACGGTCAGTGGATCAAAATAAACAGAAACTGAACAGGAAAAACACACATGTGCCTCGCTCAGATAGGAATTCCAGCTCCACGTCGAACACAAGACGCAATCATCCAGCTGGCTATGTACATAGCAAACAATTGAATCCAGATACAAACATCGCTCGATATACATATCTCAGCCTCCTAAGAGTATCTGCCCCCGTTGCCCGACCTGATGATGGATTGCATTCGTGGCAGCTTTTTGGGTGAAATGCATCGTGTCGGCTGGCATTTGGCATGCCGTGACTTGGCTCCGCTTGGAAATCTCCCCGTATCGGGGTGAAGGCATCTGCACCCACGAAATGCCATCAGCACTTTTGGCTGACTGGATACTTGCTTCACTTTAAAGTAGCACACCGATGGATAGTAACTTTCTAGTGCGTTCTATGAAAAATGCAAGTTTCTTCCTCAGATCGCATCGCAGATAAATGCCCAACTGCAGAAGAGGCCAAACGAAGTGGCTGTACTTTCGTCCTACCATAAACTTTGGTTTAATTCAACATGAACCCAACCCACAGAGAAAGGAGGCAAACATTTGAATCATAAAGTGTTAAGCTAATCCATGTTTAAAACCCCCCCATTGGGGGCTTACTGTTGCTTGCTCGTGGCGTTGGTCTGATAAATGAGCAAGTGGGAACTGATATCTGTCAGACACACATTCCCATCTCAGCGCCCCACCCGTTCCACCTGCTCCACCTGTGGCTGACTTGTGTACGAATCTTTTTGCGGCCGAACCGCAAATCCAGAGACGTGGAATTCATCTGATTGAGAATGCCAACTGATATCTGTTTCCCTCATTCAATTACAATTACTATGTTTAACACTTGTGCTCTAGATTAGATCAGATCCGATCAAACTGAATCTAGATCCATCCGTAGATTGCTGACCATTCTCACCTGTCACAGACAATTACGCCAGCGAATGGAACTTCAATTAGCTGGAAGTCGCACAGGTACACACGCAGTGACACTCTCTGGGCTATTACTGAGAGACACAAAACTGCAGTCAGAAAAAATTAGCATTAGCGTTAAAATGTTTAAAATATCCAAGCCGCACGCGCGTTTACTGTCGCGACAGATTTGGGATTCGGACTGAGACTGAGACTGAGCCGCTCGATGCGATCCGACCGAGAGTGAGTGAACTGGGGAGAAACGACGGCGACGGCGACGGCGACAGCGACAGCGACTACGACTCCGACAGCCGACCGGAGAGATCCGATTGCGACGAACTTCAGACGGCTTCCACTTTCCGCTGAGCCAACAAAATGTTGAACAGGCACATTTTTGCAGCAATTTTGGGGCAAAAATTTGCAATAAGAAACCCACCCAACGACAAGAATGAGCCCATGTCGCGAAGCAAGGACACTGCCTTCACAGAACGATCCTTAATTAACTTTAATTGTCTGACTTTATGTCAAGCGCATTCGAATAAATTCAGTTTGCCTGAATGCATAAATAAACAAACATAAACAAATACACAATTACAAGTCAAAGCCAAAGTCAGCGAGAGTGAAGGAGCTGCTCCAAATGCGCGTGGGTGCCTCCACACAGCAGATCTCTGTTCAGATCCCCCATCTGGAGGCAATGCCAATGCTTGAACCTGACATTCAGCGCAAATATACAAATTTGTTCTCTGCCACAGCTCCAAGTGACAGGCACTCCAATCGATGCGATCTCACGATTATTCGCTCAAGACAAATTGTATCTGTAAATGTGTCGCGGCTGATGCGTTTTTAATTGAAGTCAATTTTTCTTCGACGACCATTTGCATTGGATGGCAGACAGACGGGGATTATGACTCGGACTGGGACTGGTACTGGGACTGGGACTGGGCCTGGGATAAATGCAATAAATAAACCGATCAAATAGTGATATTGAAATAATTCCGAAATATGTACAAACCACTGGAAGCTGCCAAAGACAATGTGTTTTCAAGAGTGCAGTTTATTATATTTAAATTTGGAGAACCTCTAGGATTAGTTGTCGCAGAGAGTGGGACCATCGCCAATGCAGGAGGCATAGGCCATCAGGTGGGGAATGGTGCTCTGCTGCATGACGCCGCTGAAGAGATGACTCTGGGGGCCGGTGGCAAAGATGCCCACATCCTCGCCGGCATGAACGCCGATATGGCCCTTGATGTAGCTGGGTGCCATGAAGGTGGGCTGATCGATCAGATCGGTGAGGTCGATGCGGTTGCCCTTGTCGTCCAGATACTGCTCAATGCCCACGGCATAGTTAAGGGTGGCATACTTCACGCCATTCACATCGGCGTCGTGCTGGTTGAGGCCAAGGATGGGTGTGCCGCGACCCGGATAGCCGGCGATGGTGAGGGGATGTGCGTGGTCGGAGGTGACCACGATTAGTGTCTCCTCGGGATCCGTCATGGCGAGTGCCTCCTCCACGGCCTTGGACAGCTCCAGAGTCTCGTCCAGCGCGTAGGCGGGCACGTTGTAGTGGTTGCCGTAGTCGATGAGTCCTCCCTCGATAAACAGGAAGTAGCCATTCTTCTTCTTGCTGACCACCTCGATGGCCTTGCGCGTCATCTCCGCCAGGGTGGGCTCCTTGGCGGCATCGGCCAGCTTGTGGAAGTTCATCACACCCGAGCTGAAGGTTCCGATGAGGCTGCTGATGCCTGAGGCATTCACCTTGAGCAGCTGGTCACGATTGTAGGCCAGCACGCCGCCGGGATGGAGGGCCTGCCACTTGGAGAGCAGATTCACACCGTCCGATCGTTCGCCCTGCTTGTTGAAGGGATCCGTAATCGTCTTGGGCAGGAACTTTCCGACACCTCCGCCCAGCATCACGTCGAAGTTCTTGCCCGGATTCTGTGTGATCAGCTGCGTGGCGATGTCTGTGCAGGTCGCGGGATCGCTCTTGCCCTCGCCATAGGTAATGATGTCCGTGTCGGCCTCGAAGAAGCGGTTCGTGGTGTGGGCGTAGGCGCCCGAGGGACTGGCGTGAGTCAGGGTGGTGGTGGTCACAATGCCGCTGCCTTTTCCAGCCGCCTGTGCCCAGGCAGCAATGGAGCTAATTTGGTTCGCTGGATCCTCGCTGCCGCTGCAGTTGTTAAAGTTCACCGCTGAGGTAACGCCCAGAGCCACGATATTGGTCTTGACGCCGCACAAGTAAGCGGTGGCCGTGCAGGCAGAGTCTGGAACCTGCGCGTTCGAGCAGTAGGTCTGGGAGGAGAAAGATATCCTCAATCAGGATACTGGAAATTAAATGTCACAGAGTTCTGCAGCTACTCACCCTGCTCAGGCCGGAGTGGGGGAACTTCTCGAAGCTGAGGGAGTCCTCCTCGCCGGGATTGCCCTTGAGCTGACCCTTGTGGATGCGAGCAGCAGCCACCGTGGTCAGGGACATGCCGTCACCAAGGAACATGATTACATTCTTGGCCTTCCGCTTGTCGACCTGCGGCAGCGCCAGACGCTTGGCAATCTCTTCGTGGGCCAGGTCGTACCAAAACTGGGCATTCTTCTCCTCCTCAGGTCCAGCCTTGCCCTTGGCCATCCCATTGGGATCCATGAATGTCTCGCGTGTCTTCCCAGCTCCAGCTGCACTTCCCAAAAGCTGCTCCTGGTTATGGATCTCGAGCACTGCAACGGAGAATCGTCTTCAGTGCCGTAACACTCCGTCATTGAGGTACTTACTGTTAATGGACAGGGCCAAGGATGCGGCCACTAGGGCACTCAGCAAAAGCAGAATACTGATGAAACTCTTCATTGTAGCCAGATGGATGTCTATCGCTTCGATGGAGGAATTCGACTATGCTTGTGCTGTAGTGGCGGAGGCCTATATATTCCGGCAGACAGTCCGGTTTCTCCCCTGCTTATCGGGGCTGGCCTATCTCCATCACATAATCTCCCAAATGTCTGCAAAAACTTTTATGAGATGCTCTTTGCTTAATTCCTTTAGACTTTGGTGTTTATGGTTATGGGGGGTCTTGCTGAAAAGGTCTGCTCTGAAGAGTTCGCTACCAGTCTGAGGATCTGTGGACCAATGGTGTGGGGCCAATAAACGGGCACGGTTCGGGTCGAGTCGGCCACTCGGCACAAGACCACGGACCAAGGAGGCAGGTACACCTGAACCCAGGGTTATTTACCACAGGTGGTAAAGAAATTTCGCACGTTTGTATGCATACGCATATATGCTCTCTGACAACTGGACCCACCTCCATACAGCTCAAGATAGCTCTAATCAAAGAGCTATCTATGTATCTCACCAGCGGATATTGTAGCTAAAGGTGACATTCAACAGCAGATGAACCCTCACGCAGCCCAGTACTCGTAAGCCTGGCTGGATCCTTAGCGGCACACATGATGCACACATGTTGTAGTCTTGAGCGAATTCTGTTGAAGTGCAAAGGAAAAGGCTTGGCGCTAAATAAGTGAATAATATTTTAAACTACTTTGGAGTGTGTTATGATTTTGAATATATATTTGGCAATGCAGAGATGGTAGAATACTCGACACAGATCCTTCTTGTTTGTTCACGTAGAACAATTCTGTTTGTATTAAAATACTTCCACTACATCATTTGAAGCCCAAAGAAACGATGGACATGCCATGGAATCCCTGGCTAAAAATGCTAGTTAGAACTCAAACAATTACAGAACCAAGACCTCAGTCAAAGTGTTTCTGTATGATATAGTATCTGATCTACATGATTTCTATTTAGCTTTCTAAAACAAAACGGTGGCCAGTTCTATTGTGGATCATCAATATCCACTCAGATTTTAGGGAAGAAAGCCGAATAGACTGGCACTTTGGAACAACCATCGTGTGTAAAAAACGTGTAGTATTTGAAATGTTCATTTTATTGTTATTCTTTATGTGGTGCTGTCGCAGAGCTTCTGGCCACTGCCAATGCAGGAGGCATAGGCCATGAGATGGGGAATTGTGCTCTGCTGCATGACGCCTGTGAAGAGATAGCTCTGGGGACCGGAGGCCCAGATGCCGACATCCTCGCCGGAGTGAACGCCCGTTTCCTTGGGAATGTAGCTGGGGGTGATCGAGTCATCGTCTCCCACAAGGCCGTCCAGAGGTAGACGCTGACCGTTCTCATCCAGGTATTGGTTGGGACCAACAGCATAGTTCAGCACAGAATACTTGACGCCATTGATATCGCTGTCGTGTTGGTTGATGCCCAGGATATTGGTGCCACGTCCGGGATAGCCGGCAATGCTCACCGCGTGTCCATGGTCAGCGGTTACCACAATTAGGGTATCCTCTATGTCGGTGATGTCGCGAGCCAGCTGAATGGCCTTCTCAAACTCCAGAGCCTCGTCCAGCGCATAGCCCGCCTGGTTGTTGTGATTGCCGTAGTCAATGAGTCCGCCTGAGAGAAAGAACATTATGAACACTATTATCTCTCTCTTCTGGTTACTGCTTACTCACCTTCGATAAAGGCAAAGTAGCCATTTTCATTCTTGCTGAGCTTCTTGATGGTCACTTCGGTGAGCTCGGACAGTGTGGGCTGATATGTCGCATCGGCATCCATGTGGAAGTTCATCACCCCGGACTGGAACAGCCCGATGATATTTCCCACCGCCGATACATTGACACTGAGGAGCTGCTTGCGATTGCTGACCAGCACACCCCCCGCGTGCTGGCTCTGCCACTTGGAGAGGAGATTCACGCCGTCGGAGCGTTCGCCGGCCTTGCCGTGGCTGTCCTTGATGGTTTTGGGCAGGAACTTGCCCATGCCGCCGCCGAACATTATTTCAAAGTTCTTGCCGGGCGTCTGCGTCACCAGTTGGGTGGCCATGTCGATACAGGTGCTGGCATCCTCTCCATGGCTTGTTACGTCCGTATCGCACTCCCACATGCGGTTGGCTGTCTTGGCGTACGCCCCCGAGGGGCTGGCATGCGTCAGGGTGGTGGTGGTAACGATGCCCGTGGCCTTGCCAGCGTTTTGGGCCCACTCAGCAATGGAGGTGAGGCGGTTGCTTGGGTCCTGGCTGGCAGTGCAGTTGTTAAAGTTGACAGCGGCGCTGACTCCGATGTTGATGATGTTCGTCTTGACGCCACACAGATAGGCAGTGGCCGTGCAGGCCGAATCCGGCACTTGGGCATTGGAGCAGTAGGTCTAACGAAGGAACACTCTTAAAGCTGTGAAGAACGTGGGCAAGAACTGGTACTCACTCGACTTAGGCCCGTGTGGGGGAACTTCTCGAAGCTCAGCGACGACTCCTCGCCGGTTTTGCCCTGGCGCTGACCCTTCAGGATCCTTGCCGCCGTCACTGTGGTCAACGGCATGCCGTCCCCCAGGAACATGATCACATTCTTGGCCTTCAGCTTGTCGAGCTGTGGCAGCGCCAGCCGCTTGTTGATCTCCTGGTTGGCCAGGTCGTACCAGAACTGCGGATCCTTCTCCTCCGGGGGCGTGTACTTGTCCTTGGCCACTTCCGTGGAGAATCTCTCCTTGTGCGCGGCCTGTCCCGACAGCTCATACACGTTGTGCATCTCTTGGACTCCCCCTCGGACTAACCCAGACAGGGCCAGACCACCAAGGAGCATCAGTAGCTGCGGGGCGAGCATCTTCCAAGTGTGATTCGGATTGTGGAATGTAGGCGACTAATATGAAGGCTAGCTAATGTCGCGTTTTTATATAGTTTTCCAGGCTTGTGTGAGGCTAAATTTAATTTTTATTTCCACCTTTATGAGTGCCAACTTATCTCTGTTGGCCAGCCCTATCTTTATGCGCATCACCCATTTCTCTCGTGATGTCTTTCGAGTTGGGGAAGGGCTACCTACCTAAGCCTTCTATTCTTACAACAGATTGCCTGCCCTTCATTACAAGGAGTCTTCTAGCTCTTGTTGATCTTCTGTCTACTTTGGTCAAAGGGAGAGTCTGCCACTATGGAAATGGATCACATCAGCTGAGTTCACATATGCAAACAGCTCCCAGGCAGGGTTATCTCCTGAATCACGTCTGTCACGTTTGGAGTCATAAAAGCTAATGCTGGTGGCACTCTCGCCCCCCGGGAACGCATGCTCTGGATATGTGGGGAACGTGTGGTGACTTATCGCCGGAATTTTTTGCATTTTCATGTACATTTGCAAGTTGCGATCTCGTGGTATCGCCTCGTCTCGTGGAAGATAAGTCCAGCGAGAAAGTTATTACTTAATCAGGTCCGAACTGCCACTAATTCCAGCAAGGTACAGTCGGGCAAAGACGTGTGGGATGTTGTGAGGGGAAGACCCTACCCTACCCTACCCTACAAACAACACCGTAAATACTTAATCAAGTGTTCCCAACCATTTCTGTCTTCATTATTAAGTTTCATTTTGATATAGTGGCAAATTTTTCGTTAAATTACTGAACTGAAATTACCAATGCTTAGGCGAAGTTGCACCCTCCTAGCGAAGACACCGAAGCAGCAGGTGCTCGAGTGGCTGGGCTCCATAGACACCGTGCTCTTTGGGTCTGACGGAGTACTCTGGAAGTTTGATGATCCGATTGAGGGATCTGTGGAAGCCTTTAATGCCATGAGGGCCAAGGGGAAGCGCTGCTTCATAGTTACCAACGATGCCAGCATGGTGTCGAGTGATCTGGCCCAGAAGGCCATGCGCCTCGGCTTCCAAGTGGGGGAGCAGGAAGTTCTCAGCTCAGCGGCGAGCATATCCCACTATCTGGTGGCCAAAAAGTTCAGTAAAAAGGCTCTAGTCGTGGGCGAAGCGGGAATCCAAAAGGAGCTCGGAAAGGCTGGCATCCAATTCGTTACCATTGATCAGGACGCAGGAGATAAGCAGATGAAGGACTTTGCCCGCCAACTCGAGGTCGATCCCGATGTGGGAGCTGTGGTGGTGGGCTGTGACAGCAGCTTCAATGTGTCCAAGATCGTCGTGGCCTGCACCTACCTGCTCAATCCCAGGGTTCTGTTTCTGGGCACCTGCATGGATACCAGCTACCCGTTGTGCGACAAGCGAGTGACTGTGGGTGCTGCCGCTATGGTGGTTCCCATTGAAAAGAGCAGCAATCGGAAGCCCCTCATCATGGGCAAGCCCAATCCTCAAATGGTGAATAAGCTAAGGCTTTCCGGATCCCTCAATCCGGAGAAAACACTCGTCATTGGGGATCGGTAAGTGGTGCCGTGCCGTTCGATTGATTGATTTGAATAGTTATTTATGTAATTTTATCTAAAAGGTTGAGTTCGGATGTCATTTTCGCCAGCAACTGCGGTTTCAAATCACTTTTAGTGGGTTCGGGAGCGACATCTCTCGAGGAAGCGCAGAAACTCCAATGCGAAGGCAATGAGAGAAAACTGATGATGGTTCCGGACACGTATTTGCCCTGCTTGGGACACTTAATGGAATATCTGTGTGAAGATGAGGGTACAGCGGAAAAGAAGCGTGTCGACAAAACAGAAAATAAGGCTTAGCTCGTATAAACCGCGATTAGTTTGATTTTAAATGTTCGCGGGTTAGTCAAACAGCTGTTTGGCCGCTGCCATCGTTTTTCAGCACTGGCTCAAGTAAATAAATATCGATGTATCGATCAAGTGCTGCTTCATAATAATATACTGATGTCAGTCACGCAGCCCTTGGATTTCTGTTCATAATAGGCTACGATTGTGAAGACATAAATTGCTCGCAGTTAGTTTGATTATTAAAGTGATTTTAGCGAGCAGTTCTTTTTGGTTGACACTGCAGCAGACGATAGCAGGTACGACAACTATTTAAGATTCTTCCTAATTCCCTCCAAGTACTTTGAAATAAATACTCAAAAATAAATACTTTAAATACTTTTTTCGACTTTTTACGCGATTGCAACTTTCAGCCAATCAATTTTTTTCAGTGCAGTGGCAGTGTTGCTAAATACTTGTATCGAATCGCAAGAAACAAAGAAACAAAAAATGTTCTCCGAAAAAGCTGTGTTTTAATCGAAAAACAAAAACAACGCTGTCGCTCCGCTTGTGCCTGTGTGTGTGCGACGTTTGTTCTATTAATATAAAAATGATTTTAAACTGCAACTAAGACACCTTGAATGCAACGGCGCAGCGAGCGCTGCATATGCGTGAGTGTCAGTGAGGACCAGTGTGTGTGTGTGTGCGTGCGTGTGTGAGTGTGTATACATGTGGATAAACGAAAATAAAACTGCCCGTGCCGTGCCTTGTATCGGTCGTCTCTACGTTCTGGTTGCCACCGCCACCCCGCAAAGCTAGGTCCGAGAATTGCATCGTCTTCCACTTCCACCACCTCCAATAGCAGTGCCAGCGGCAGAGGCAGCACCAACAACCACTACCACCACCCTTTACAACTGTTACAAAAGAAACCCCGCAACCCCCGTTCGCAACAGCCTTGTAATCTCTCGCATACAGGCAGAACAGAACGCAAGTCACACACACAGACGCAGTTCCATCTAGCTCCTGGAATGGACATGGACTCGGATATGGAAATGGAAATGGAATCGGACAATGATGGCGAGTACGAAGATGACTATGATTATTACAATACAGGTGAGTCGCACGTTCTTCAGTTCCAGCCCCCTCCTCCTCATCCTCCTATCATGACAACAATCTGCAATCGATTTAACTGAGGCTGAATCAATGTATATGTGTATAATGTATCTGTGTTCAAAAATCGGTGTGTGCCCTGCAAGTGTGTGCGAGTGTGTGTGTGCGGCTGTGCCCCCGCCTATGCGGGTTGGTTATTCACCTTTTTGGGAAGGCCTAGGCCTAAGAACATTTGCATTTAACCTTCTACGTGCTGGTGGGCCAGCACTTGACATTCGCCTTCATCAGGGCCCGCCCCTGCCCCCACAGCCATAGCCACTGCAGCGCAGCCACTACTAAACTATCCTAGTGTTCGTTCCTTTCGTTTGGCTCTGCGGCCATGAAGTCGAAATTATGAAATTGAACTTGAAACGAATACTCTACACACTAGCGAACGTACAAACGGTCGTACGTAAGTAGTTGGATTGCCCCCTTCTGAGGTTTGTTGTTGGCTTCATTATTGCCCAGTCTTCCTCTTACGCTCTTCTTGCAGGGGCCCGGTTTAGTCTCTCTCTCTCTGTCTGTCTCTGGCTTCCTAACTCTGTCTCTCACACACATATGTATGTGCACTCGCAGCAAGCACTCGAACTCTCAGGTGCGTGCTCAAGTACATTGTTGCATTCTGCTTTGTGCCTCCTCTTCCGGAGACTTGTCCCTTTTTGACCTGTCCCTTGCGGCAATGGCTTGAGACGCGGTTCCGATCTGGTCAAATTTGATTAGCCGCAACGGAAAGGGACCACTGTGAACCACAAACACCCTGCATTCGTCTTTATTTAAGTTTAAGCGGTTTCCATGATTTACCAATTAAGAATGTGTTCTAGGATTGATAAGACTGCTGGGTATACGTACATATCTACGTATACCTATCGTAGCAACTAGGGTTCTATCCTCTTGGTACTAACGTCATATAAGGATTGACTTCCGCATAGATTCCTTCAGATGGCAAACGGAAAACTGATTAATAACCAATCTGAATCAATTGTCTTTACAGGCGAAGACTGTGATGTGGAGCGCTTGGACCCGAAGCGAGCCGATCCCGAGTATTTTGAGTACGATTGCCTGACCGTGGAGGACATTGAGAAGCTGCTCAACGAGCGGGTGGAGAAGCTGAACACGATACTGCAGATAACACCCTCGCTGGCCAAGGTGCTGCTGCTGGAGCACCAGTGGGACAATCTGGTGGTGGTGGAGAAGTACCGGCAAGATGCCAACGCCCTGCTGGTGACGGCGCGCATAAAGCCGCCCACAGTGGTGACCGATGCCGCCTCAACCAGTGCGGCGGCGGCTGCGGCCAGTGCCCAGCTGCTGAAGCTGGGCAGCAGTGGGTACAAGACGTCATCGTCGGTGGTCAGCAATGCCAACTCGAATGTCCCCCAATACCGGAGTCTGATGTGTCCCGTGTGCGCCAGTTCGCAGCTGGGGGACAAGTTCTACAGCCTGGCCTGTGGCCACTCTTTCTGCAAGGACTGCTGGACCATTTTCTTCGAGACGCAGATATTCCAGGGCATTTCCACGCAAATTGGCTGCATGGCCCAGAAGTGCAATGTGCGTGTGCCAGAGGACTTGGTCCTGACCCTGGTTACACGCCCCGTCATGAGAGACAAATATCAGCAGTTCGCATTCAAGGACTACGTCAAATCTCATCCAGAGTTTAGGTTCTGCCCGGGACCCAACTGCCAGATCATTGTGCAATCATCGGAGATCTCCGCCAAACGTGTCATCTGCAAGGCGTGTCACACGTGCTTCTGCTTCAAGTGTGGCATGGACTATCATGCGCCAACAGACTGCCAGGTCATCAAGAAGTGGCTGACGAAGTGCGCCGACGACAGCGAGACGGCCAACTACATTAGTGCCCACACCAAAGACTGCCCCAAGTGTCACATCTGCATCGAGAAGAACGGCGGCTGCAATCACATGCAGTGCTTCAACTGTAAGCACGACTTCTGCTGGATGTGCCTGGGGGACTGGAAGTCGCACGGATCTGAGTACTACGAGTGCTCGCGGTACAAGGACAACCCCAATATTGCCAACGAATCGGTGCACGTGCAGGCCCGGGAAGCCCTCAAGAAGTACCTCCACTATTATGAGCGCTGGGAGAACCATTCCAAGTCGATGAAGCTAGAGCAGCAGACGATCGATAGGCTGCGCCAGCGCATTAACTCCAAGGTGATGAACGGCAGCGGCACCTGGATCGACTGGCAGTATCTGTTCAATGCAGCGGCACTGCTGGCCAAGTGCCGATACACTCTACAGTACACATACCCATATGCATACTATATGGAGGGCAGCTCTCGCAAGAATCTCTTTGAATACCAGCAGGTGAGTTTTGTCAAGCGTGTTTTAGCAGTTTTCGTATCGATTCTAATATTGATTTCATTTGTTTATCAGGCGCAACTGGAGGCTGAAATCGAGAATCTGTCCTGGAAAATAGAGCGGGCCGAGACAACGGACCTGGGTGATCTCGAGAACCAAATGGATATTGCTGAAAAGCGTCGCACCACCTTACTCAAAGACTTCTTTCCCGTGGATACATAGACGGCATAGGCGGAACACAACGCTTCCAGAACCACCAGAAGCTTGTCCAGTTTAGCACAAACCGAACCTTATTTGATCCACTTGACAAGCCACACGACAGTATAAGAGACGCTTATTTAATTATAATTATACACAAATACATACTATACATATATCCATATATCCATATAGCGGTAGCAAAACGATGTGTAGCTAATTTTTAAACTAATTGAATATTCACGTGCATATAGACTAAAGGATTTAGCATAGAACATATGTAGTCGACTACTTGAAGTATGAATATTATAGTTGTGACATTCGAAATCACTCAAAACGATCGATCGGTGTAACTGCAATACAACGCCTTGAGCGGTAAGATTATGATAACGATATCGACGGAAGCCATAGCTATTTCAGTAAATATAACTACCACAGAAAGAAGAATAGAAGAAAAGAGAAAAACCAGGCGCATTTTTGTGGCCATGTGTTCCAACAGTTTTCCAAAAACTAGCCCAAGCGACCCTAGAGTATGCATAAACAATTCTAAATATGTAGCATAACAAGTCAAGCAATTCTCACTCAGCCACGCATAGAGAAAAGACCTCAACTCAATCGGTTAGATCCTAAGTTTTAAATATCGTATTAACATATTGGCCGAACGGCGTCAACAATATCAAAGTATTTGTAATCGGTAACTCGTAATTCGTAACTAGCCACAGCACATCCATCGAATCGAATGCAAAATGTCTTCAAATAAAATATGTACGTATGTATGTATTTATAACGAAAGTTAGGTACTCAAACAAGTTAGGTACTCTCCCTCTCCCGTTCATTTATTTTATATTCTCTGCTCAATTAACGTATTAAGCTGAATTATAAATTATAGTCTAGGATTACGCTATGTATTTATGCTTATGCGACTGAATTTGAATTAAATTTACACTAGATATAAAACGACAGCATCTATTTAGTACAATTGGAGAAAAAAATGGGCAGAAATAGCTTTTGGCTAAAAGCTCACGGGAAGCTTTTGTTAGCAGGTATTTTTCCCGAACAAGCTTTCTCGCTAAACTTTTCAATCAAATGCAATCTCAGCTTTTTGCTTTAATTATTCTGACTTGAATTTCACTCAAAAATTTGGTTATCTTGCTCAAACTCAAGATTTTAATTCCATTCGATTTATGTTGTGCCTCATTTAAAATCTTGTGCTCTTTAAATTTATTTTGATACAAAATTCCAGCAATGTGGTTCTCTATTTGTACCTGTTTAGATATTCTGATTTCCTTTTGGATGTGCATATATACTTTTGCCTTAATTTTTACCATTTTTACTAGGTTTCGACTTCAGCTCCATTAGTTCTCCTTTTCGGGCTTTATCTGTTAGCTCCTCATCATCAAATATTTTGATATCCTTGGCATAATACCAGACGGCAATGTGCCAGAAGCTACCGACTAAAATGAGCGTTGCGGACACGAGATTCATTGTGTACCTGG